TCTTCCCCAAACCCAATAACAAAGGTACTGTTACAATTCCCATTTTACAGAGGAAGAAACTGAGTCACAGAAAGGTCACGAGAACTCGAAGTCTGTTGTCTGGGGGAGTCCTCCGTGTTTTTCTCACAGAAGTTATTCGTCCTCTGATGTCCACCGTGACATGCAGGAAGAATGTGGGGATGCATAGTGTTTTCTAAAGGTTTTGGCCATGACCACTGTTTTCATGGGGCATATATGGAGACTAGGATGAAGGGACACCCCTGGAGAATGACACCCTCGTACAGGTGGGACAAACCTTCCTTTTGTTGGCACGACCTTTCTCCAGATGGTCAGATGCAATGGAGGGGGCGTCCACTCACTGAACAGGTTCCTGCCCTGCCCTGCTGCCCTCGGACCTCCCTCAGGAGGCATCTCAGTAGCTGCAGGTGTCACAGCCCCTGGAGAAGGGCCTCCATTCTGGAGCGTGTTCCCACGAGGGGACTCCCACCACAGTAACGTCCTCCGCCCCCTGTCCACCTCCTCCCCAATCGGGGCGATTCTCAGTTGGGCAGAGGTGATGTATCACAAAGTGAAACACTCCCATGGTCTCTTTTCCTGCTCGGTCCCCACTGAGTGGAATCATTCTGCAGACCCAACAACCCCTCATAAGAGGGGTCCCTGGTCCACCTGGGTGACAGTGTAGGGTGTAGGGAGTGTGACTCTGGCGACAGGTCCAGCTGGAGCTTCCAACCGTCAGTAAGAAAAATGTTATTTTGCTCACTGTGTGTCTGATTCCTGCGTCTATGTCTTATAGAGAACTTGGAGAGCGGGAAAGACGAGCCACATGTAATGACAATCTCAAAATTAAAACAATGTTATTTGCTGACCACCTGTTTTAAGGTAAATAGAAAATATATAAGTACCACACAGAAGAGCTGCGTTCTCTCAACATCAGCCACATCCAACAGAAGTAGTACTCCTCAGAACTCCGATGGACCACAGATAAAAGTAAGAAAAGGGCCATGAGAAGAGCCAGAAGTTGACAGTGTCTCTCCAAGGGCTTGCCCAGGCCCAGAGACCTTCCCTCTCCACATAACAGACATGCCAAGCCACTGAACATGTGACCCACTCAACCAGTCCCCCTTCTCTGGCTCAGTACGCAGCCATCAGGTGAGACTCCAGCCCCAGGTTGATCAGCCCAGAGGACGATATGCCTGAACATCAGGTGTGGACCTTGTGGCTGACCCACTGGCTCTATTTCTCATGAACGATGAATAAATCCCTCTTCTGATTGTACACCACTCTGTGTGCTTCGCTAACGTGAATCCATTGCTAAGAGAATGAGTCAGTCTCGTTAACAGAGCCCATCAGCTGTCTGAGGCTGGGGGACTCACCTACTCCCCAGGCCTCTCCAGGCAAGCAGCCAACTTGCCACACTTCTTGTTCCCGACTTCGGCAACATGCCTGAGATGAACACACTGATTGGGAGAGGACCTCCTGCTCGCCCTCCGGAAGCAACTGCCCTACATTGGCTCCGGGGGCGGGGGAGGGGGATCCAAATTCTTTGACAAAAGGATTGATCACATGTCCAATCAGGGTTACAACAGAAGTTTAGTTGCCAAGCCAGCTCCTCCTGGGCACAACGGGCCTTTGCCTCACCGCTTCGGCGGGTGGGACAGCACCACAGCTCCGGGGTGGGGAAGATCCGACCACGCAGGCGCAGGCATAGCTCTCGGGAAGCCTCCCGCCCTTACCCAGGAAACAGAGACTTGAGCGGCGAACAGCCTAACCCCACTTCTGGACCACATCAGGGCCAACATCCTTTCCGTCGCTGGATGAGGCCGCCCCAGCCTACCCCACACTGAGTAGATCCTGATCTTCTGAACAGGGGAGAGGGTGGGAACTGAAAGTTGATAGCTGTAAAATTAAAGGTTATCAGCAATCGACTCTAGAGATCCATTTTAAGTTTTGTTTTTTGTTTTGTTTTTATCCTGGGCACATTTTTCCACAATAACAATGGACTAATGAAGGTGAGGGTCCCAAGGTAGCTCTCAGCAATCTATTTGATCCTAAAGGCATTTGACTTAAATTTAAATAACTTTTCCCTCTTTTCCCTACAGATGAGTCCATAGTTTCATAAACACCATTTAGCCAAAAGAGAAAAAGAAGCGTTATACCCTCAAACCAAGAGGCTGATAGTGTGGAAAGTGCTCCTGAACTCCAGTTGGAACTTTGCAGGCCAGTACCCATCCCTATAGCCATTCCCTTAACATCGGGAGCCAAAGAAAGTATAGCTCAGAAAGGACTCCCTCCTTCTCCATCCTCTCCCGGCCCTGCTCCTCCAGCTCCCCAAACCACCCAGCCTGGCCAGGACACCCCGAGCTGCTGCAGCCTGGTCAGGACACATACTCAGTGGTTTTCAACAAACTCAGTCAGTGCAGTTGAGGAGCACGTCTCAATTTCCTTGAGTAACATATGACATCCCTTGAAAAGTAGGTAAAGCTCTTAAAGGGCCCACGTGCAATTGTGAAAGAGTGCCTTTTCATGAGACTGCTTCCTGGTGCCCGACACGGACCTGGTGCTCAGCAAGCATGGAGCGAGAGGAGGGAAGTGCGGGACTTCAACAGGCAGCGACGGGCACGGTGCGTCACCACACTCGGGGGCTCTTACAGAAACCTCCCGCTAAAGGGTGCCTCACAGGCACGGCAGACGGCCTTACATTGCATGGTCAGACACAGAGCGGTAAGGGGCTGCTGCTTCATTTTCTCACTCTGATCCACTTAAAACCATCTCAACTTCCCTGGCCGGCGTGGTTCAGTTGGCTGGGCATCATCCCGTTTGCCGGTTCAATTCCTGGTCAGGACACAGGCCCAGGCTGTGGGCTTGATCCCAGGCAGGGGGCTTGCAGGAGGCAGCTGATCATTTTCACTCTCACACTGATGTGTCTCTCTCTCTCTCTCTCTCTCTCTCTCTCAAAATCAATTTAAAAGAATTAAAATCAAAATAAAACTTAAAAGGACCACCTCAACTTTGTCCTGAAAAGGCTCCTACTCCGCTTTGGCTGCAGAGCATTCGGGCTGGGCCTTAGGACAGGGAACTCGGCTGCCATGAGAAACAACTCAGCACGTTGTAGGTGCCATGTACCCGTGTGTAGGGAGTCACTCCAAAAATACTCCTACTCAGAAATGTATTTTATAGGGTTGAGGGAGCTGGTGCTCCCTTTTATCCTAGGCTTAAATTTTTCACTGCACCCAAAGTTCTGAACAGGGGTGCGTGCAGGTTTCTCAGAGGGTGGCAGTGTGCTCCACGGGCCACATGCACCTGGGGCACATACCCAGACGTGCACATCTGAAACGCACCCCAGATCCACTGAAAGAAGCCCTAAGGAAAGGAATTCTCTTCTCCAAGAAGAGAATATTTAATAGGCTCCCCAGATAATTCGTCTGCACACTAAACTTGAAGGACTTTATAATGCAAAAAACCAAGAATTTGGAGGAAAATGACCCAAGTTCATTTCCACCCAGACACACGTACAAGTCCCGTAAGGTCTCCTGAGCCTCCAATAACAAATTTTTTTAAACAGAGGAAAAGACATACTCATCCCAGAGTTACTGGGTCAAATGAGAATAGACTTGAACTTGCTTGGACAGGGTACAGGACTAGACATATATTATTCACTGAAAACATGTAAGGAATGGAATGAATGACTACAAAAGCCAGGTGCTGGGGAAATAAAGATGAGGAGTGAAAAGTTGGAAGACCAACAAAAATATAACTCCACAGAATGAAATGAATTTGGGGCCATAACTGCAATATCTGTATGAAAAGGGTGATGAGCCCACAAAGGAAACCATGATTAATAAGTAATTCCGCAGTGATAACCTACAGACCAACCACGAATGAAGCAATGCATGTTATTCTGTAAAAAAAAATTAACAAAATGTTGAACCTGATCAAGCTGAGACTGGGAGAAATATAAAAGCTTAAAAAATAACCGAGTCTTTATGATAACACTAGGCAAGTCATATCCAGATTCTAACCCTGCATCCCTCTATTACAAGAACAATAACTACCATGTACTGAGCACCTATAACATGCCAGAGGCCACACGAGAAGCTTTGCGCTGTTGGTAAATTTCCACAACGACCTCATGACATTGATGTGATGTTTTCTCTCACAGATGGCAAATTAACCCCAAGAAGTCAGGCTATAGTGGGTGGAATTCAAATCCAGGTCTGGCTGACTCCCAAGACCTGTGAGCATGGAGCACCCACCCCTTTGTTAAAAATGTCCAGGACTCCAGAAGCTCACTTCTGTTTAAGAAAATCTTGTAATGGTCAGTTGGCTGAAGGCTGCAAGACACTTCAGCCAAAGTCAAATATCCTTTCTTCAGGCTGACCTGAGAGATGTGTCAGAAGATCCGGGACAGTTAAACTGTAGCCAGACTGCGGAGAGAGGAAGCATACAGCTTCTGCATTTCATGAGATCTTGTCAAGTGATCACTCTGCTATCCACTTGTATTCTGATCAACAATATCAATAATGGCTAAAATGTACTCAGTACTTACTCTGTGGTAGGCATTATGCTGTCTACATGGATTGCCTCGTGAAGCAGGTGCTGTCAACTAGCCCTCGTTTACAGATGAGAGACTGAGGTACAGAGAGGTAGGAAACGGATGCAGAGCTGGGGCTGAAACCCGGCCAGCCTAAGTCCAGAGCTTGTAATCATGCTGCAAGGTTCACTGCCTTGTAAGTGGTGTCTCAAGACTCTAGATGTAAAATTCCCCAAGTAAACAAATTGATATAACTGTTGCTAATAATCTAGCAAGAAAGTCTTACAACATTGGTTTAGCAAGAATACACAGCAGGGTTTTCCATCTAATTAATTTTCCAGAATCCTGCTTTTCTAATTCATCTGCATATGTGTTTGTCACATGCTGAGTGTCGACTATGCGCCAGGCACAGGAGTGACAAAGATGCAAAGGCTTGGCCCCCTCCCCACCAGGCTGGTCTCCACCTCACCTTCAGCTGTTTGACCTTCTCTTTTCAGCATCTGGACAGCTCCTACATATTTCTTCAGCTGGACTTTAAGCACCTCATTTTCCCTGCAGGTACAAGAATGTTAAAAAAGATATTTTTTTAAATTGGTAATTTAGACCAAAGGAGGGGGGGGAGGGGAGAATCTGTGTAAAGAAAAACACATAATGTTCATCTTATAAATAATAATGCATTCTCCGTTTCTGAGATCATCACTGGAAAAGACAGCGTTAGCTAAGGCACATTTGCAGAATGCCTTGAAGAACTGTTCCTTCGTGACGGAAATAAGCTAACTGATTCCAGTGCCCATAAAATCAGGATGCTGACATGTGCTATGCTCAAGTTATTTGAATCTATCAATCTGCTAGATGCCTATTCTGTGCCAGGCACTCTGTAATACACTCTCCATTTACAGAAGCACATACCAAGTACTGTGTATTCAATCTGGGGAATACTCAATATTTTTATTAACCACTAAATGTATTGGATATTCACTATTTGCCAGGCATAATGTGAAGTCTTTAGATATCTCATTTAATTCTTTCAAGGTACTATTACAACATCCATTTCAGAGACGAGGCATAAAGAGGAGAAGCAATTGACCAAGGTCCACATCCACACCCAGGTAAGACTGTACTGTGAAGCATGGAACTCAGGCTACAACAAGACCCCTCTACTGAATTCACTCCAGGCACCCTGGCTAAGGACAAGGACATGGGGATCAGGGAAAGAAAACTACCGCTGGTTGAGTATTTACGACACAGCTCAGACTTTACATATGTGACCTCACTAAACCGAGCACTCATTCATTTACTCATTCTTCATTCAGTGGGGAAATGTTCATTAATGCCTATGATGTGTCAGGCACAATGACACGACAGTATTCTCCCTATTTTATAGGCGAGGAATTAAGGCATGGATTAGGTCTCCAACCATGGTCACAAAGTAAGGCACACGGCCAAGATCCAAAACAGGCCTCTCGGCCCCAAGGCCCAGGAGAGCTTTTCTCCGTCTCCTTAGGATTTGGACTTGGTTTCTCAGCAGATACCCCAGAGAGGTGCCTCTTCCACATTTGTTTCTGCTCCCCCCAAAAGGGTGTAAATAAGCCTGCAAGCCTTTGAACACAGTGAAAGAGCTTTAAGATTAGGTTTCTTTTATGCTTATAAAAATAAATTTAAAAGTAGAAGTGCTCATTGCAAAATACTCAATTAGATCACATTTAAGAAGAAATGTAAAAATCAGCTGAAAACCCAACACCTTAAAACAAACCCAACATTTTTTTTTCCTTTATTGATTTTAGAGAGAGAGGAAGTGAGAGGGGGAGAGAGAGAGAGAAACATCAGTGAGAGAGAACATCAATCGGCCGCCTCCTGCATGCCCCCAACTGGGGATCAGGCCCACAACCTGGGCATGTGCCCTGACCCGGAATCGAACCAGCAACCTCTTGGTTCATGGGTCGACGCTCAACCACTGAGCCACACCAACTGGACCAAACCCAACATTTTTTATAACTAGTCTATCATACCCCTCACTAGGCATGAGCGCACGCACGCGCGCACACACACACACACACACACAAAGTCCTAAATATAATTTTTTGTGTGTGGATGAAACATTGTTCACACTCCTTTAACTTTTCGTTTGAAGTGCTTTTTCCCTTGTCTACAATTCCATTCACCCCTTCCCTGTGGCAATCAATGTTAAAAACCTGATATACACATTCCATGCCTTCCTCCATGCTCTTATAGTCACTACAAACCTGATACACTCAAATAGAATTAATTCACCTTATAAAATCGTATCACACTATAAATTTTCCTGCAACCAGGTTTGTCTCATTAGACACCACCAGAAGTGTCTAACTCAGTGTAGTGGATGGAAATGCCATTCCTTGATATGAATATGCCACAATCTACTCGATGGAGACCCCTGAGACCGCCCGTCGCTGGCCCTGTCGTCTGTTTTCAGCACATCAGACTACATCTCCATCTGCAAAGACAGTACTTTGTATTTTGCTTTTCTGCACTATTTTGGCAGAAAGAACATCCACATCAACTGCAGACTCTGCCACCACTCAGGTGTCGCCTGAGAACTGCGGTTCATCTCAGAAGCTTGAGAGAGGGTAAAGCACAGAGGAGCCCGTAATCAGCTCCTGCCCCCTAGACAGCCTGGCGCGGATGTTCCTAGAGGTCTCTGCACTCTCTCTGTGATGTGACTGGCACACATCTGAAACTACACAACTAACGAGTCCTGAAAAGGTTTGTGGTGGAAAAAGATATTCCCCAATGTACATGGATTTAATCATTTTCTTGGGTTCCCTCAGCCAGAGTCTTGTCAATCATTCCAGCTTAGTCCTAATCTCCATATGTGAATTCAAGTCGTATGAAATTGATATGCATTTCTGTGTGGCACAATTTAACAACAGTTTATGGCAGAACATCCCCCAGGAGGCAGACTGGGCAGGTCCACTCTGGCCGGCTGGCAGGTGAGTCGTGTCAACGTCTGGCTGCTGTCCCCTGCTCACACCACACAAGCCGGCCCTCAGCTCCCCCTTCATCTCTGTCTCTGCGGCCAGCACTGACTGTTTCAAGTGGCTGCTGTTCTTCTGGTTTGAATCAGTCTTTGAATGGTGTCTTAAGGCTATCTAAACATGAGATCTAACAGATGAAAGTCAAGATTTTTAATGCAAATCTGACTTGCATCAAAGTGATGGGGAGCCATGAAAATATATCAAACCACCGGGGTGACACCTTTGGGAGCCATAAATTCATCCCAGCCAAGTTTGTATCAATGAACTTATTTGCCTTTTCAGGGAAATGAACACTTTCAGGTCCCTGGAATTGCTTCTGAATAAAAACCAAACACCTGGAGGGCACACTGGCCACTCCAAAGAGGTCCTTTGCTCCTGAACACCCCTCCCCCCACCCCAGCAGCATGAGGCCCATTTTTTTAAGTATTTGTAGATTCACATGAAGTTGCAAAGATAACGCCAAGAGGGTGGTCGTGTATCCCCTCGGCCCAGTCCCCCTGCGGTCACGTCTCACACAGCTATGGGGAGTGGCACGAGGACATGTGTGTGCTTCATCCAGCCGCTGGCTTAGCAGCTGCCGTCCTCTGCCCGCGGGTCCCTTAGGGTGGAGCACAGACCTGAATGACCACAGCAGGCCAATGAGGAAAGCACACTGGGTGTAAGTACAAGAGGGAACAGGGGGTGGGGAACTCGGGCGAACTGCAGAGTTATGGCCCAATCAAAATGTATTTTTAAAAACTTAACATGGTAGTGACCCAAGAAAATAATTCCTAGGCTCTAGACAACTCATCTGCTGCCAGGTAACAGGACTTGGATTTGTGAATCAAAGGACCACATAGAAGTCACCACTCATGTTACACAGGTCTCCGCTGGATTATCAAAGAAAGATGTCTTTTCCTTTGACACTTCATGAGGTAGCGGAGTGGATGGGTTCATTAAGCACACCCTAACTATGAAAGGCCTCGGAACTGCAATGATGACTGCGGCCATCTCAGCGGGGCCCTCAGCCGGGAGCCCGGCAACCTGAACAGGTGAGAAGCAAGGGGAGCAGCCAGGACCAAACCTGACCAGGGCTCCGGTGCAGCAGCGCCCACCTCAGGCCCAGGCCGTCTGTCCTCAGAGCCTTGGCACCTGTCCTCTTCACACACACCACCCCACAGGCGCGCGTGTGTGTGTACACGTGTGTGTGTGTGCGTTCGCATGCACGTGCACTGGTATGAGAGACCGAGACTCACAGAGCCTGGGGCTATAGACACAGGGCTCGTACTTTTAACTTCTCTGGTGGACGATGAGCTGCTGTGGAGCAGCCTGTCCCTGGTCTTCTCCCACAGGGGTGAGGCCCCTCCCCTCCCCCACCCACCTATACCCCGGCATGGGGCTGAGTGAGCCTGTGAGGACAGACCTCGGAACAAGGGGCACAGATGGTCGGTGCCCTATCGGCCACATCCTAGAGCAACTTTCCTTCTCTGCTTCATGGGATTTTCCTCCTCTCTGGCCCTAGGGTGTGCCTGGCCCGGTGACACCTGGCTCTTTTTGCAACTGACAGAGTGATTTCATTAAGACTCCATCTGAAAACTCCCCAGAAAAGTTGGGGCGAGGGTTGTTCTTATTGTAAAGGAATTGTCAGTGCTCAGACCTTCTGAAGTAGGCTGCGTGGGAAGCCTGAGGGTTCAACCAGCTTCTCCACTTCCACCCCGAGCCTAGTCCCTGGTGCTCCAGGAGCAGCTGGTGCACCTCTCACCCTCTGTGACCAGTCAGCGATCCCCCTGTCAACACTGGGCTCCCCCAAGGACTGAGTATTTCAGCTGCAACTCACACATCTGCCTCAAACGAGGAGGCAGAGTTGGGGTGCCCTCAGCGATTAATCGACAATGGAGAATCCACAGGACAAGGGGGAGCAAGGGTAGGGGTTCACCCAGGTGGACTCTGTCTTTTGGAACCCAAGCAACTGCAGTGGGACTCCAGCCTCATGACGATAAACTTGCGGACTTCCCCTCCCCCTCCCCGCTGCCCGTCTACTTGTCCAATTCTTTCTACACGGTGAAGAGTCGTGAAATCCGACTTCCTCACAGGTCAATGAACAGGGAGGGAAAAACCCCACAGGGAATGACCTGAAACAGAACCTCCCACATGTGGTACGTTTCCAAACGCATCTGAGGGGCTCACCAAACTTTTTAGGTTAGCATTTCTTCTAGTATGTTTTTCTAAAAAAAAAAAAAACTGTAGTGATATCAAGAACCCTTTAGAAAGAAATATAAATGTTTTCGCAGGTGAATGGCTCGAAAGAAAGATATTAAGAAGAGAATAAGGCGGGAGACACACAAACATGCCGAAAACCACGACGGTGGTGTGAAGTGACTAGAACCTGAGGAGGAGAATCTTGGCTCGAGATACAATAAGGGAATAAGGAGGAGATACTTTTAAAGCACATTACCAAACTGTATGCCAGGAAATGGCAAAGGGCTCTGAGAGTCAGGAAAAGAGGCACTAACATTAGCAAACCCAGCCCCCTGCTGCCTCCCCAGGGCTCCTCAGTGC